CCCAGAACAGTGACAGTGCACACATAAACTAATTACTAAAATTCTGTGACACACTGAAAAATATATTTTTTGCCCATCTGACAAAAAATAGGTATAATTTTGATTCATTTACAAAAAAATTAGTAAATATGTACTCTTTTTGCTCCAAAGTAGCTTTTTAAAAATATATTTATTTATTTATTTTTAATCTTCACCCGAGGATATTTTTTCCATTGCTTTTCATAGAGAGTGGAAGGAGTGGGGTGGGGGCGAGAGAAACATCGATGTGAGAGAGACACATCGACAGGTTGCCTCCCACACGCCCCCATTGGGGCCAGGGATTGAGCCTTCAAACGAGGTACATGCCTTTGGCTGGAATTGAACCCGGGACCCTTTAGTCCACAGGCCAGTGCTCTAACCACTGAGCCAAACCAGCCAGGACCAAAGTGACTTTTTAAAAAATTGGGTGCCTATACTTGTATATAAGGATTTCTGGTACCAAGAATTAACCAATCAAATGCAACCATATTATGTGACATGACCAATAAGATGCAATTTTATTATATGACTTATATATATTTATGGTTCAAGACAGGGCATTCACATGGGACGGCTGTTGTTGTGTTGGCTGTTCTCATTTTTTTATTTTACAATCTAAGGGAAAAGAGCTAAGTTCCCCTGACTAAATAGGTATTACATGTTTTAAAAATTCTTGTGCACCAATTGAAAATCACTGCCCTAGAAGATTCAGTAGAGTATATAGAGATAGGGAGGATTCTACGGTGTTTCCCAAGTCCTTTTGCCGTGGTTGACCTTTTATATAAAAATTCAGTTAAGTTATATGGCATATTTTAGAGACCTCTTTCCAGAAATTTATCAATTAATTAATACCAGACAAATACCTAGCTATATCATGCATCCTTTGTTTAACTAGCTTATTTATAATAGCACCATTGTTTTGTTCATATCATGGCTAAGTCTAATAGATTTCCTTCGTCTATTAACTTGGTATCACTTTTCCACAAAGTTATTTCTTCCCTTACACTTTAAAGAATCTTTCTTCATTCATAAATAAATAAATAAATAATCTTTGTCCTAGTTTAACACATTGTTTCTTTTGGCTCATTTTAAATCTAAAATATAATTTCTGGCATGCCAGTTAGGATATCTAGAGTACTATGTACTTTATTTGTTTCTTATATTATCTAATACGGGAATGCTTTTTCTACAAAGAAGTAGCATGGCTACATTAAAATCCTATTGCTTTGGAAATATTTCCATAGCAGTAAGATAATTTAAAATGTGTGCTTGTGAGTAAATTGTAAAATTACTATCTGACATATGTCTTGGAAAATTCCACAGATTCTGCCAATTTTCAGTTTCTGGCGCATTGACTAGAATTTGTACACGAGGAAATCAAACCCTGCTTTCCCTTGATTTACCAATCCCTGTGGCATTTTGGAATATGAAATTCAGTTAAATGCCTGCTACTCCTGAGTCAAATCCCATTATGGCTTGCAGTATCTACTTCTTAGTTCTTTTGTATGTATTTAGATGGGGTGGGACTGGGGAAAGTGAAGGAGGAAAGGGAAGGACATGTAATTACATCTCTACTTCGAATTTTCAATTCTTTAATTTTACTTCAAACTTCAAAAGAAGTTTTCAGTAGGGCATGGGAGATTTTGTTAACACAAGAACTTCCAAACCTATAGGACATTAAAGAGTTTATTTCAACCAAACTGAGGACATGCCTATAAGCAAGATCTCAAAATGCTCTGGAGGATGGCAGTTTTGCAGGTTTGTGGTTTTTTTTAATACATTTGGAATCAAGGGAGGGAAGTAAGGAATCTATTGGTGGTAGATTACAGAGGCAAGAAAGCAAGGCAGGGAAATGCCTGTGATTGGATGAAGAGTAAAATGGAGAGATATACATTTACATTGCTGGATACCAGATAATTAACAAGATTTACAGTGAATAGGGGTGGTATACAGGCAAAAAAATAGTTTAAAAAAAATAGGAGCATGTGTTCCCTTGAGGATGGTTACACCTTGAGGGGTCTGAAAAGAAGGATTATTCTGGCCTTTCAAAGATGTAACCTAGATGTACCAGGACAATGGGCAGAGCTTGCTTAAGGCAAAGATAAAACTTTACTAAAAAAGTGATAGGCCTGGGATGTGACTACCCACCATGACCTGCCCAGTTTGGAATTTATGATCAGATCTCTCTGAGATTACTTCAGTCACTGCACTTGTCAGATTTATTACACAGTCCCTTTTTCGTTCACAATTTATAGGAATGAGCAGCACTCAAAATGAATTCCAGTCATATACAGTGGTTCATCAAGTTCGTGGAGTCCTCAGGGCCCTAGAATGCTGCTGGGTACAGTTAAAACTTAGTAGGTAACAGAGATACTCAACAGAGAACAGAAGTGCATACTTATTTTAGACTGAGAGCAATGAATTGGTAGTGGATATAGATTTTGGTTAAGTAAACAGAAGTCAGAATAAAAAAGAGCTTGGAATGTTGAGGCAGATGTTAGAAGGTGTCCAAAGCAGAAAGTTTGACCCATTAAGTGATGTGTCTGTTTTCTAAATGTATCGCTTGCTTGGTTTTTATCTGGGGATTTCTTTCTTAGGATAAATTTAGTCATAAGATGGTAATGCACTGGCAGTAGTTTTCTTCTAAAAAGCAGTTCTATTTCTGTTAGGGACAAGATGTTGGGTGGAGGAATTACAGACTTACTTTGTTTTATATTTATTTAGCCATGCAAAAATGTTTTTCCTTTTAGATCCTGGCAAGAAAACCAACCAATCAGAAAAACATCTGGTGTTAGCTTAGCTGGAGAATGGCATAATCAGTAAAAATTACTTATTAAAAAATAGTTTAAAAAAAATCTTATGCAGTTTCAACTCTGGATTTCTTTATAAAAACTTATCCTTATCTCTCCCTTAAATTTCCCTCCCCCTAAAAGATTTGACTTACATTGGGCTGCCTTTGTATGTCTTAAGTTTTATTCAAGTCTATGAAATTTAGATCATGAATCATAAACTTTTAAAGTCTAGAATGTGTTTTTGTGGCTTTTGCTGTTAAGCACTCAAACTTAGTAGCTTAAAACAATTATTCAGTCTGGCAGTTCTTCTGATCACTGGGAAAGGTCACTCATAAGACTGTAGTCATCTGGTGGCTTGACTGGGTCTTGAGTATCTAAGATGGTCTCATAGTCTGAGGCCTTGGTATCACTGTCAGCTGGGAGTTTCCACATAGTCTCATCATTCTGAAGTTTATCCTGGGCTTTCTTACATGGTGGCAGGAATGTTTCAAGAGGGTAAAGTTTCAGTGTCTCTTCAGGCTTAGCCTTGAACATCATAGTCTTTTTCCCCCCCACAATCTTTTGGTCAGGCCACGTCACCATATTAACTCAAATGCAGTGGATGGGAAAACAGACTCTACCTTTTGAAGGTAGATGCAGCAAAGTCCCATTGCAAAAGGGCATTGCCACAAGGAGATAAGATGAATTTGGGGCCATTATTATAAGGTTCTACTGTGGTCTCCTCTCTGGCTACAGTGATTTACATTCTTATGACATACAAAATATCCCCACCTAAAACCTCCAAAGTCTTGTCCAAAAATAAATAAAGGTGAACACCTGCCTGGCTGGCGTGGCTCGACCAGTTAAGCATCAACCTATGATCCTGGTTTGCTTCCTGATCAGTGCCTGGGTTTTGGGCTCTATCCCCAATAGGGGACGTGCAGGAGGCAGTCAATCAGTGACACTCTCATCATTAATTAATTTGTGACGACAATAACATAAAAGGGGAGGGTAAAGGTCTGAATTTGCAAAGGAGGATGGAACTCAAATGCATTCAAAAGATAAAGGACTACTGAATATGTGAAACTTCCTTTTTCATGAACTTGATGGTAACCACAGACAAAAAAAACAAAACTGAGACACACAACTTAAAAAAGGAGGAAACTGAGGGAAAAAGTATGGAATACCACTAAGTAAAAACAACAATCAGAAAAACAAAGGAAAGGACCAATGGAGGCACAGAGTTACCAGAAAACAAAAGATAAAATGGCTATAGGAAATCCTCATACATCAGTAATTACTCTAAATATAAATGGACTGAATTCACAGATAAAAAGGCACAGAGTAGCAGATTGGATCACAAAACAATACCCAACCACATGCTGCCTTCAGGACATAGAAGCTGCAAAGACAAAGATAGATTCAAAGTAAAAGGGTGAAAAATGACTCTCCAAGCAAATAGCATCCACAGAAAAGCAAGTGTAGCCATACTTATATCTGACAAAATAAAAATCCTTCTTTTCTCCAATTTTTTTTATTTCCACTGCCCTGAGAATCTTACAGAGACCTGCATCTTTTATTTGAACTATAATTTCAGTATATTCTTAGCTTATCTCCTTGCTCCTAGTCCAGAGTTTAATATCTTTAGGTTTCTCTTCTCTACAGGATTGTTTTAATTTTCTAGCTTGATGTACAAGTTTCCTTCATGACCTAACTCCACCAGTTCATTCATTAGATTTAGTGAGTTCCTACCATGTATCAGGCCCTATGCTCAATCCTGGAAAAATGATGGCAAACATAAAAGGTTTTTCATTTAACTGGAAGGTAGGTTATTATAGTTATTAGAAAATATTTATTATAATTACGCTTTAGATGTCTGAGATTGAGGGTTAAGTAATTCAGTTTCCTTATATGTAAAATGAAAATTAGGGTTAATATCAAGATTCAATACATTAATACATGAAAAAGACTTAAAACAGTACCTGGCACATAGTGTCTTTCTTCTGACTGCTATTAGTTTATATTCTCTAAAGATGGAACAAATTAAGTCTCTTAAAGATGTATTTCATCCTAAAGAGACTCTGAAAATATAACTTTGGCTTATATCCACTAGACATACTCACCTCTCTCCTAAGAGGATTACTTGTAAGCTGTTGAATTGAACATAATAAAATGTTAAGTAACACTTGACACAGTATTTTGTTTTTGCAGATGTTCTCAAATAGTGATGAAGCTGTAATCAATAAAAAGCTTCCCAAAGAACTCCTGTTACGGTAAGTCTGAATGCTAATTTTGTGTGTGTGTGTTTGTATGTCATGTTTGTCTACTTTAAAATTTGTAGACTTATTGCCATTTTTCATATATGTATTGGATCTGGATTACCTGAATTTATAAATTTATTGATTCTTTTGTTAAATAATCTTACTTTGTATTTCCTAGATATAAATCAAGATTTTGAATGTTTAATTTAGAAACAATTTTCTCCTACCCAGTTTGTACCTATCTGTGATTTTGTTTACTCATTTCCCCTTTGCCCTATTCTTGTATATAATGTAAAAGAGGTAGTATATTTTATTTTAGTATAATACAGATTTTTTAAAAGTAGATTTCAGAGACATGAAGGGAGAGAGAAACATCAGTGATGAGAGAGAATCATCGATCATCTGCCTCCTGCATGCTCCCTACTGGGTGGGAATCAAGTCTGCAGTCTGGGCATGTGCCCTGACTGGGAATCTAACTGCGATCTCCAGGATCATAGGTCGATGCTCAACCGTTGAGCCATGCCAGCTGGTCAGTACTGATTTTTTGAAGACTGATTCTAATCCATCCCTTCCCCCCACTTATATTTGCAACTTTGATCACTTAATTAAGATAGTGTCTTTTTGTTTCTGCACTGTGAAATTATTTTTCTTCGTTGTTGATAAATATCTTGTGGGGAGAGATGCTGAGACTATGTAAGTGTTCTCTTAAAATACAGTTTAGCCCTGGTCAGTGTCCGTCAGTGGTTAGAGCATCAGCCCAGGCACAGAAGGATGGAAGGTTCCTTTCCAGGTCTAGGGCATATACCTGGGTTGCAGGTTCGTGTGGGAGGCAACCAATTGATGTGCCTCTCTCACATAGATGTTTCTCTCTCCCTCCCTCCCTTCCACTCTGTCTAAAACCAATGGAAAAATATCCTCGGGTGAGGATTTAAAAAAACACACATTTGAATAAATAAGCATTTGGTTTGGTTAGATTTTAAGTTACATATTACATCATTGAGTCTAACATGTATTAACTCACAGGGAGGACAATTGTGTTCTTAGGACCATACTATTTCCTTGTAAATGTAAGGCCACAGTTACCAATGAATTAAGCAAGTGTTCTCGTTTCCTCTTAACTTTAAGTTACTTTAACTTACTGATTCTCTCCCTTCCCTTTTATTTTTTATTTTTTAAAAAAATATATCTTTATTGATTTCATAGAGAGGAAAGGAGAGGAAGAGAGAGATAGAAACATCAATGATGAGAGAGTCATCGATCGGCTGCCTCCTACACGCCCCCAACTGGGGATTGAGCTCGCAACCCGGGCATGTGCCCTGACTAGGAATCAAACCCCGATCGCCTGGATCCTGGGTCAATGCTCAACCACTGAGCCATGCCTGGCCGGGCTCTCCCTTCCCTTTTAAAACAAAGTTTATTATCAATGTGGTAGCAAGCTGGAAGCCACTGTTTGCATAATGTGAAATCAGTTAGGATTGACAGTGCTCTCTTTCAGAGCCATATGCATTTATTTAGGAGTACCTCTTGAAAATTGAATGTCAGTGTTTATAAGACAAAGAGTCTTGTGTATTTTCCAAAAGCTACTGTAAATTGACTTGTTCCTCAGAGATTTCTTCGAAGATGATACTGATAACTGTAACAGTGACATGAGGGATAAGACTGCTTGAGCCCACACGTGCCCTTTTAACTGTAAAACAAAGTGCAGTTCCAGAATAAGGATTATTATTACTTATAAGAATCTAAAATATTTTTCATTGTTTTTTTCAACTGTTGGAGGTGTTGGTACATAACTATCATGTAATATGTAATATGTATGTGTGAGTGATAGAAGATGAACTTTCTGAACTTATATGGAAAGAATGAAATGGCTGGGATTCTTTTTGTCTGATAGATAATCATTCTGTGTTGGGGTTCCCCAAGAACACCTCTAGATTTGGTAATCTACTAGGAGGACTCACAGGACTCAGCATATGTTCAGACTCATGGCTCTGATTTATTACAGTGGTAGGATACAAAGTAAAGTTAGTGAAGGGAAAAGTGCATGGGGCAAACAAGAGGAAACAAAACATAAGCTTCCAAGAGTCATTTCCCAGTAGAGTCACACAGAATGCACTTAATTCCTCCAGCAACAAGTTGTAACACCATAAGTAAAATGTTGTCTACCAGAGAAGCTTACTCAGGGAATAGTGGGAACTCTACCAAAATCCAAGTTCTTAGGTGTCATCCAAGGGCCAAAATTACAAGCAGGCCTTTTTAAGGATAGGACAGCTATGCTCGTCTGCACACATGCTATCTCATATTTTATTTGAGGAAACTTAAAATGTTGATGATTTCTTGTAGCTTTTCATTCATTTTAATTACCAGGAATTCAGGATAGATT